GGCAGCATGCACATGATCTCCGTCTTTGGCTCCGATACCATCAGTCCGAACAGGCCGGCCACGCGCACGATGACCGACATCATCTTCTCGAGACTCTCCGGCGAGCGCGAGACGATGGCCGCGTCGTCAACGGAGAGCATGGCCCACAGGGCCTCTGCGTCCGACACCACCGTCGTCTTCTTCCCCGCCGACCTGCCCTTCTTGCCCATGTACTCCACTTGTGTCCCGATCTTGACCATGTCCGCCGTCACCTTGGGGTCCTTGTCGAACTCGGCCACGGTGACCATGAGCATCGCGGCAAAGAACAAGTTGAACAGCAGCGGGGCCAGGTTGCATCCCTGTCGGAGGCCTTGGCCCACGTCGAACCATTCCAAGTACTGCCCATCGTCCGTTCGGACGCGCGCCCTCATGCCCTCGTGGAAGTAGCGAATGACAGCCAGTATCTTCTGGGGCACGCCGAAGCGTCGGAGCACGTCCCACAGTAGGTCTCGGTCCACCGAATCGTATGCCATTGGTGAGGTCGACGAAGCACGCGGACACCGCAGTACTCTTCTTCCTCGCGAGCTCATGGAGCCGCTGGATGGCGAACAGCATGTCGAGCGTCGACCGGTGTGGGCGGAAACCGCTCTGCTCCTCTGGGAGGAGTGTGTAGTTTGTGGATAGTGCATCAGCCAGAGGATTCATGGTACGTTGTGAAGTACGCTAGCCCCGGTTGAGTCTTTGCATTCCGATATTATTGTGATCTGCTTTTGTGCGTTGGTCGAGCGACATGGGTGGTGCTGCGGTGCTACTATGCTGCGGTGCTAGCCCCACCCTCGCTCATTTCCCCTTTTGACCTGTTCTCCCGAATCAAGGTCTCATCAATACAACATATTATCCCCAGAACCCACGAGTTTTCCAACAGTGTTGTTGTATTTGGACCCTTGAACTAAGGTACCATCCGGGCCGGTATATCTTTAAGGAATATCCCGACCACCTCCTGCCCAGATTCCTAGTATTCCGACTTGAGGCAGTTAGCGATGTGCAAGCGTTCCACCCTGCTTAGTGTTGCCTCGTGTTCCCTGGTGTTGCCTGGGAGTGAGCGATAGCGATCGACTGAAAGAGGGAAAGGAAGGATAAGGAAGGAAACAGACTGAAGAAGCGAAGCGGCTCCAACCTGCACACATTGGTCGGACTAGCTCCACACTGAACCCGCGTCAGAGATGGTCACATCTCGTCACAACTTGCGGACCCCTCGGGGCCAGCATATTTGAGAGTACCGTTTTAGGGTAAGTTAGCCTGTGACCACGGGAATCGACCGCGTCGAGTGTTGTATCAGTACGGACATACGAAGGTACTGGGTAGAGAGAGATCAGAACGGTTATAAATGTGAAGGCAACAACAACAACAACAACAACAACAACAACAACAACAACAACAACCGTCCATTTTATTTTCGTATATTTTTTTGGGTAAGTTAGCCTGTGACCACGGGAGCAGCCCCGTTAAGTGTTAAGACTACAGGAGAGAACATAATGGTTTTTTGATGTGAATACAACAACAACAACCTTCCGTCAACATGTGGGAGAGTGTGGGCGAGGAAGGTAGGACGGTGGAGTGCATTAGCGTGAGGCTGATGAAGATGCGCCTTTAAATTGGCCGCACCTGCGGAGTAGCTTACGTGGAGGGGTACGCCCCCACGGAAACTGTCCGCACCACCGCGGGCGGTGATGTTAACGCCAAGAACTCCTCCTGGACTGCTCTCGACGCAGCGATCCGGGAGGTTCACAGCCGTAACCATCTCGTGGTGCTAGTGGACGCCAACGCACGCACTGGTAGGAGGCGAGACGGGTGCTGCGATGCCAAGATTATGGGCGCGTACGGACGCGACATTATGAACAACAACGGGGAGCGACTCCTTGGACTGGCATCAGACAACCGACTCTCCCTGACCAACACCTACTTCCGGACACCGAAAGGTGGAGTGCAGCACACATTCCAGAGCTCCAACAAGGGGAAGGAGAAGTACCGCTTCGACTTCATCCTCATGCGTCAGACGGACCGGCGTTTCGTGCGTAATGTCTCCGTCAAACGTGCCGACTTCAAGGACTCTGACCACAACCTCGTGCTTTCGACTGTCCGCCTCCCCCGCCGGGTCGCACCCAACCGACGAGTGCGGGGGAACAGCGGAAGCAGCCGGATCCGTATCGACCTCGAGGGGTTAACTAAGGATAAGCCCCTACGGGTCACCTTCCAAAACAGGGCCTCCAGCCGCCCTCTGCCCACGGCGCTCAGGCGCCCGGGAGAGACCGCCGCCGAGCTGACGGCTACGGTGATGTCGGCCGCTGCTGAGACCACGCCGCTGGCGAGGTGCGCACGAGGGTAGAGAGGCTGGTACACGAGCGAAGCGCAGCACGAGATCTCCGAAGCGTCAAAATAGATTAAGGCGGCCCAGCAGCAACTTCGTGGGGCCTCAAAGAACAGTGCCTTCGAGGCGACCCTGAAGGCGATGCTCAAGGCGGCGCGGAAGATGCGCAGAATCGCGAGGTGGAGAGCACTGTAAACGTTCTTCGAGAGCTATGTACGGCAGCTCGAGAAGAAGAGCCGCGAGGGGGATCAGGCGGGTTTCTACAGGCACCTGAAGATGATCGACGTCGAAGGTAAGAGGTCGTTCACCTCTCAGAACATCAAGGACGAGGACGGCAAGGTCCTTCGGGACCCCACGTTTATTCGCCAACGGTGGGCACGGTGGTTCCACAAGCTTCTCAACACCGAGTCGCCGACCATCGACCTGCATGCGGCTGACAAGGTCAAGCGGTGGCCCACGTGCGTGCCACTCGACGACATCCCATCTCTACTTGAGGTTGAGGAAGCGGTACGGGAAATGGCCAACAGAAAGGCCGTCGGGCCGGACGACCTACCGGCTGAGCTGATCAAGCTTTTCCTGGACGGAGATCAAGGTCTCCTCCGCGAGTTCCACGCCACTGTCGTGGACGTGTGGCAGACGCGGGACATACCACAGCAGTGGAAGGATGCCAGCATCAAAATGCTGTTCAAGAAGGGGGACACGATAGCGTGCGGCGACTACCGGGGCATCTCTCTCGTCGCACACGCCGGCAATGTGCAGCTCAAGGTCGTCGCTACACGACTGAGCCACTACTGCGAGCGAGAGG